AATATTTTGGTGCACCCTTAAATGCATGAAGAATACCCTTGCAGTTTGGATATAATAGAAAATAGACCAATATGTTAAGATTGCATTTAGAACGTGTGGTATGACCTGTGCGTTTTGTTTTTGATGCAGTATTGTCACACCCTCTGAGGTGTTTGTACCGACTTTTTATGCTCCCGTATGGAAGATTCGAGGGTATATAGTTTTTGCCCTGTCCGTCCGTCTATTTGTCCGCAAAAATTTTAACATTGCTCATAACTTTTGATTGGTTGGTTGGAGCTATAGCTTTCATATTTCACATGTGTATTCCTTGTGCCAAGACCTTTCTTTGGGTACCATCATATTTGACCTTTTAGGTTTGACCTTGGAGTTTGACCCAGTATTACAAAATTTTACCCAACGCTAACTTTGGCCATAACTTTTGAACACTTGGTGCTAGGGCTTTCATACTTCACATATGTAATTCTTGTGACAAGACCTTCCTTTGGATACCAACAACTTAAACCTTGACCTAAGAGTTTGACCTATTTTTGAAAAACTTAAACCTTGGTCATAACTTTTGAACTGTTGGTGCTAGGACTTTCATTCTTCATATGTGTAATCTTTGTGACAAGACCTTGTTTTGGATACCAACAACTTTGACTTTGACCTAGGTGTTTGACCTACTATTGAAAAACTTTAACCTTGACCATAACTTATGAACGGTTTTTGCTAGGGCTTTCATACTTCACATATGTAATCCTTGTGACAAGATCTTCCTTTGGGTATCAACAACTTTGACCTTGACCTTGTATAAACACCATGTTTGAAATACAAAATACTGCTGTAAAACTTTGACTACCAAAGGAAACTACACGAGGAATGTAATGGTATTTTGCAATGAAGTTGTTTATTCTGATTTTTATTTGATAATTAAAATAAGTACGCATATGTATGGCACGCCAAATTCACAAAAATTAGATAAACTAGGTTTATCGACTGTAAACTATAGTTTTCATCTGTAAAACTATATTTAACGCTTGTAAAGTGTAGTTAACGAATGCTAATGTAAGTTTATCTGTCGGTAAATAAACGTTAACAATATATTTTGCTGATAAATATAGATTCTCATTTGTAAACTATAATTTACATTCGTTAACCATAGATAAGAGTTGTTAATCATAGTTTCACAACTTGTGAAACTATATTTATCAGATAAGCAATGTTTTACCTTCGTTAATTATAGATTTCGGTCGTAAACTATAGTTAACTGTCATTAATACTCATATAAACTATATTTAACAGACGTAAACTATACTTAACGATCGTAAACTATAGCTTGGAGAGATTAACTATGATTCACATTTGCCAATCATAGTTTATCGTCATAAACTATAATTCACACTCATAAACTATAGTTAAGAGTTGTTAGATGTAGTTTATGAATCAAAACACCGGTTAACTGTTAACGATAATTTTCAATTCAAAATTTCGCGGCACCAATCACGAGAAGTAATTTCTATTCTTCATAATCTTAAATTTATAAGTCAAGCTTTCAGCAACTCTTTTGATACCAGCAGTGCTCAGTCATTTTTGTTTGATCAGCGCAAAAGGTTGGAAAGACGGCAAGGATAAATGTGGGTGATTTATTCCGTTGCTGTTGAAGGAAAATTTGATTACAAACCGTCAAAATGCATTTTTCTCTATCTTTCGCTTTTAAATAAAAAAATTAATTTTACTCAAAAATTTTCCTATCATTTTTCTTTTTATTTCCAACTAGATTTGCTTTAAAATGATAGAACATTTTTTATTTTAAATGTCAACAAGAAATATATATATATACTATATTTAACAACCAATGAAAATAATCGTTTTATAGCAAAATCTTGTCATGCTGTAACTAGGATTAACCTATCTATAATTTACGGACAAAACTATTGTTAACTATAGTTTTGATCGTAAACTTACGAAAGCCTAAAAGGGTTAAATAATGAAAATGAAATTTTTTTTTATAAAAGTCGTAATAACGACTTTTTACCTCGTAATAACGACTTTCATCTCGTAATTACGACTTTTTAAGATTTTTTTCTTCGTTTTCCTAATTTGACCTTTCCATATTACGGAAACGTATAACCGCCTCGTGCCGTTGTGTTTTACCTCAAAGTGACAAAATAAAATCAGTGTCATCTGCCAATAAAATGTTTAACTGCCCTGTTAAAGCTTTGTTGCCCCCCCCCCTTTCGCAAAGATAAATATAATATAGGCATTGAAATATGCCCCCAAACGTTTTTTTTTTTTGGTTGGTTGGTTTAGCCCCCCTTTCATTAAATTTGCTTCCGACGCCTATGTGTCATATATACATGTAATACGCTGAAATAATGTCTGCGATGCGTATAGCAATAATGTCTTTGATATTCAATTTAGCGGTATAATTTATATGAATTATTTAAGTGCGACATTGATGAATTCGACTTAAATGGATTAAAGTGTGTAAATCGTCCAAAACACGTCAAAAAAGTGTCCTTCATTAGAGATTTTTGTCATAGATAAATCTGCAAACTTTGAAGCAACCATTTTGAACAATATCATAATAAAAAAAATAGCGTTCCAACTCAACAACACGACACCATTATACATTTCCATACTTCTATACCATCGTAGCCTAGAAGGTTCAAATAAGGAAAATGTTCAAAATGAAAAAATAATAAAAAAAAAAAAAGTCGTAATAACGAGAAAAAAGTCGTTATTACGATTTAAGAAAGTCGTAATTACGGGATAAAAAATCGTAATTACGAGATAAAAAGTCGTTATTACGACTTAAGAAAGTCGTTATTACGACTTACGTAATTACGAGATAAAAAGTCGTTAAATTACGACTTTGTTAAGTCGTAATTTAAGAAATGAATGTAATATTTTTTTCTTTGACCGACGTATCAAAGAAAAAATTTGGGCGGAAAACGTCATCAATGCGCGTAGCGCATTGATGAAAACGTTTTCTGTCCAAATTTTTTCTTTGATACGTCGGTCAAAGAAAAAAATATTACTTTCATTTCTTATCATTTAATTATGATTTTAAAATAATAAAATGAAACTGTCTTGCAGTTTACTATTAAATTTACCCATCAAAAACAGTGCGTAGGAATATATCACAACAATGTTGCTGAAATTCAAAATGGCTGTAGATCTATAGGCCTAACGAAGAAACAACGTTCTCAAATATTGTCGTGTCACTACCAACCTTTTCTAACAATAATTAACAGTTCTTTTACACAAAAAACTTACCTGTTGTGTAATTAATTTTTTGCTATATCCCAGTGGGTATATTTTCCCCGGTAAGCTATCTAGGTTCGTAAATTTAAAGGGATGCTACTCAGATATCCTAACAACTCTTTCTATAGGTCACAGAAATTTGGGATTTCATTTGCGCATCTCTTCATCTGAATTTCAAACCGAACATATAAATACGTATCACAACCTGTCCATGCTGTAAAATCTGAAAGAGTCTGTTGCCTACTGTTTAACATTGAAAGAATTCCGTTCTCATTCATGCAGTGTTGTTTTTCTCGATCATTCAATTCCTAAGAATTCAAAAAACAGATTAACGACATTTCCCCGTTTTGGTAGCATAAAACTTTTCTTCACAGTTCTGTTGTTCATACCAGTTATCTCAAAGTCAAATATTTAACATAGGTATGCTGATTTCTTTCATTCTTTCCGATTAATGCATGTATTGTATGCAGACGATCTGATTTGTTTAGCAAAGGGGGATAATTCAAAAAGAAACGAAAGTAGAAAATAAGTCAGGAACGTAATAGACAAGTTTCAAAATTCAGGAAAATATCTATTAGAAAAAAAAGTATTTATTGTTCCTTCATGAACTTCTGGAAGCGGGAAATATACATGTAAAGACAGCCAAAGTAGTTCCGGCTGCTAAGTGCAAGCGAACTCCAAATTCTATTGATGCAGTTATCAAAAGAATTTCTTATCCAATCAGAATCAATTATTTTATAGAAATTAAATGACAACGAGGTGAAAAGTCGTTATTACGACTTAAGAAAGTCGTAATAACGAGATAAAAAGTCGTTATTACGACTTAAGAAAGTCGTTATTACGACTTAAGAAAGTCGTTAACGAGATAAAAAGTCGTTATTACAACTTAAGAAAGTCGTTATTACGACTTACGTAATTACGAGATAAAAAGTCGTTAAATTACGACTTTGTTAAGTCGTAATAACGAGGTGAAAAGTCGTTATTACATGTACGACTTAAGAAAGTCGTAATAACGAGATAAAAAGTCGTTATTACGAGATAAAAAGTCGTTATTACGACATAAGAAAGTCGTTATAACGAGATAAAAAAAGTTAGTAATTACGAAATAAAAAGTAGTTACTACGACTTTTATTTATTTATTTTTTTTCATTTTCTTTATTTGACCCTTCTAAGCTTTCGTATAAATTAACTATACTTTAGATTCGTGAAATATAGTTTTACAGAAAATTGTGCATATCCAATACAAAATCAGAGATTCTGGCGTTAAAATGTGTTTCTCAGCTGTAAAACTATATTTATCACAATTTTGTGAATTCAGCGCTTTAAATATCTGTAAATTATAGTTTACAACCGTAAACTATAATTAAAAATATGTTAACTATAGTTTAGAGTTGTAAACCATAGTTTAAAAATCGTGAAACCGTATTTATCAGATAAACTATGATTTGCAATCGCAAATGATTGTTTTCGGTGTTAAGTATAGTTTACACTTGTGAAACATAGATTACATGCACTTACATGTATAATATAGTCGTGGATTACTTGGATAACGACAATGACACTGAACACTTTTAGAGTTTAGTGTAGTTGTAGAGTGTCATATACTGAGTTTTCAATGAAACGTTGCATACCACTGACGTAAAGTGACAGCCTTTATTTTAAACCCGAATTTTAAGAAATATGAAATACGGATTTAAAAAACCCGTAGAGCACGGTTTCAATTGTTATTATTCTACATCCGGGTGTTTTGGGAAATCAGAACAACAGAAGCATGTCGAGAAGGGCAAATGAGGGTTCTCTTTTCATAGGCAGACTTAGCAAATCTACGAGGGTTCGAGACCTTGAGGACATTTTCGAACCATATGGTCGAATGACACGATGTGAAATTAAATATGGTAATGAAATTTATGCAAATTTTAGGGTGATTTAGATATACCTTTCTAGGTCACAGTAACATCAAACATGGCGCTGATACTTTCAATGAAGTGACCTAGTTTGTCACTCTCTACCATCGGCTCATACATTCACCTCTGTCGTTGGCTCGCGTATATCACAGTGATAAGCACGAGAAATAGTGGGTTTGTTTTAATTCATTATAATTAAATGTCTGAGCTAATGATAGTCCTTAAAGATAGATATTTACTAAATAGATATAAAACTATTAGTTTAATTTGAAATAACCCTTAAAATGCTATGTTTTTTACGTTATGTCAAAAATCTTGATGCGAGCCCATTGCAGAGGTGTCTGAGAAATGAACGAACGATAACTCTGCATAGGACAGGTCCAGCACAATCTCTTGATTTAGCTTAGTGTTAAATCCAGACCCTAAAAAGGGCATGGTAATCCAATAATCAAAAGGGCACTTTACGCCGCGACAAGTTTTCATGAGGGCACTTTTTTAACGTCTTTGAAATTATAAATATTTTCTTTATCATGTTTATGTACTTAAATTATTATTTAATACTGAAATCTTTAGTTATACAAGTATCTAAAAGAAAAATTTATAAATCTGTCAGCTTAATTCATTTAATACACACTGAGAGGGAAATTATTGCCAAAATTGAAATTCAAATTTTTTAATCAAGAAATTAGTATGGTTATCAAGGTTATGCTTAAAAAGTAATAGGTGTGAATCTTTTTGTCACTTGCTCAAGAATTATTTTAGTCTGGGGTATGATTTTTTTTTCCTTTGCTTTAATATTGTTATTTGTATATGAGGTAAATAACAGAACAAAATTGCAAAGGGGGGGGGGGGGTTACTTGGATAATAAATGTAGAGGGCATTCTCTTTATTTTGAAAATAATCTATCAACAAAATCAAGTGAAAACTGATTATACCAAAAAAATTAAACTTGAAATAATATATAAATTGGTTAAAACTTTTTTTCTGGCTTAGAAACATTGAGCCTCTGGGTGTCAACTCAAAAAGTAGAACACAGAATCATTGAACATGTTGAAAGAAACTAACTTCATACTTTGTTGTTTCCTAGCCCATTTCACACATAATATTCAGGGGTTTTTTTGTACTGTACATTGTAAGTTGACTTAATTCATCAGCAGATTTATTTTTCACATTTCTTCATCAACTCTGTTTTTTCTACTTTCAATTTTAAAAGAAACGATCCTGATTTAAAATGTGTAACATTTTAATTTACAAATTAATCTATCTTTGACATTGGGCTAATTCTTGCATAATCAATGCAACCAAATGATATTTTCTCGTGTTATCTCTTATACCCTAACAGCCTGAGGCATGTTACCTGGCCAGGTGGCTGTGTGCGTTCAAGCGAGAAGTGATTTCCTGTCCTGAATTCACACCTTTGCGTGCATTAAATAAACAAAGGGGCTAATCAGCATGCACTGAATAAACAAAGCCGCTAGTCCATCTTGCCTCTGCTAGGCATATTTATATATTTTTGCAAAAAAAGGGCATGGCGCTGGAAAAAAGGGCATGGCGCCGAGAGAAAAGGGCATGGCGCTGCGCCATGCTAGTTTGCTTTAGATTTAACACTATAGCTATATAGCTTGAAAAAGCTATATAGCTTTATTAAGCTATTCAAAATAGCTTGATAAAGCTATTTATGTGCAGTTTTTCAGAAAAAAATTTTTGTAAGAAAAAGACAAAAAGTCGCAAGTATTAGACTATTCATATATGTACTATGGGCTATCAAAACAACAACTGAAATCAAAGATAGTTCTAACATTGCAGCATTTGAATTCTTTTAAGCAAAAGATGAATTTCCATTGTTTGAGTAACTGTACACCACCTTGTGTGCATTGAGGCATGGATAAGTATGATTGCTTCTCATTGTACTGAATTATTACCAATCCATTATCTTGTTGACCATAATTGGCCTCTTTTATAATTTCAATGAAGAAGTAACTGTATCAATTGCTTTATATAGCCCCAAAACTTTTAGAACTTTGTGTACAAAGTCTATTAGGGAGACGCAATTTGATGAGTGATTTTTACATGCATTGTTTCCAGAAGAGTTCAAGGTTGAATATTATCACTGCACCAAGGTGCGACTTTTTGTGCATGGTGAGAAAATAAAACATTTAAGAAAAAAGTGTGATAAAATAGCTAAATTAAGCTATTCTGAATAGCTAAATCAAGAGATTGTGCAGGACCTGTAGGAGATTGCTAGTTTGTTTCAATGAGAACATGTAGACTCTACAGTAGACCTAGTGTGTATACATATGTTGATCTATATGACGTTTGTAATTTTGGTCAAGACTTAAAAAAACACTAGATTCACTGATTTGTTTTCAATCTTTTTACAGGGGCTGAGATGGGTAAGTTACTAAGTACATAAAAATTTTATCTATAATGCCATTAATATGTTTTATGGTGTGACCGTTGGGGCGAATGCAGTTGTACCATCAAAAAGCTATAGCAGCTTGCACTTGTAACATTGATCCGCCTCTTCAAACGTCAAACTGCACGAGACACAGTCTAGGCTGTGACGTCACATAACGTCGGAATTTATGGAGACAGCCGAGCGTCTGGTTGAACGAGACTACAAATCTTGTGCATTAATAAACGTTGTAGAGTAGATGTAATTATTTTTTGCTTCTTTTAAGCTCTCTGCAAAAATAAAGAAAAGTAAACGTATCTCTCAGTGATGAATAATTATCCTTGGTCTTTTGTATGTTTTGTGAGAATTTCGCATTGAACCCTGGTAGCGAAGGAATTCTGGGAATGTTGCACCAGAAAATATGCCTGACGTATGTACAGATTTCATTCCGAATTTCCTCTGTTTCTACATGTTAGATTGAGCTTGCTTCGCGCTGCTCGCTATAAAATCATTAAAGCAAAGTCGCTGTTATTGTACTTTGCTCTAATGATAATTATTTTAATTTTCATGTACTCATTGCCTTTACAGTTTTCATACTTTTGTGTTTTTATCATTAATCAACTCTCTTTACTGTAAAATATATCATCTCCTAGTGGGTTTACCAACACTCAGTTTATATTTATACCTGACTTTGTTGTAAGAATTTTTAACACTTTGTTATTATATAATTTGGATGAATGGAGCAAATGATGATAAATGTGAAAAAGTTCAGTATTTCTTGCAGTATTACTATAATGGCTGATCACTTATTTTTATGTTTATTATGTCTTGCAGCATATGCATTCATTGACTATGAAGACCACAGAGATGCTGAGGTAAAGAAGAGGTTAATGTTTGAAATATGTGCATTTAAAAAAAAAAACAGAGAAGTAAATAACGATTTCAGGAGAAATATAATATTTTATCCCTACACAGAATTCTACTGTTCCATCAAAGAAACTGGATTGGATGGAGCTTGTTAAATTTTTCTTTACTTATTAGTTGATGGGACAATGAGAGATTCAAAAATGAGATTACTATAATGTATCATAGGGCTGATAGGAAGAAATTAAAGTATGTCACTCATCAGTGTGTGAAATAAAAGAAGGAGGGTCCTACCCACAAGTACCTGTGGTCACTTTTTAGTAGCAATTTTTAGAGCTGTTTGGTAGATTGAAAAAAATGCATATATGGCTAGAAGTAGAGAGATTCAAACTTTTTAAAATATAGTATTTCAAAATTATGCCTTTATGTAAAAAAAAAAAAAACAAACCAAAACTAAAACCAAAATCCTACCTACCAACTTTACTTTTTATAAGCATGTAATACACATAGTAAACATATTTTTTCTGAAGTCTAAAAGGATACGATAAATAATTTAGTATATTCTAAAATGATGTAGCATGTTGCTTGTGGAGATGTGTGCATTCATAGATTGTTAAGTCAGTATTAAAATCATGAGAAAACATCACAGTTTTTATCTATGACTCACATTATTGTAAGTGATTTTAGAAGGTTGCTCCACCAGCCATGTTTCTTTGATAAGACTGTGGTTTCTGTTCACAGAAAGTGATAAATGGCTTTATTGTCAGACTTCATGATAGGATGATCATTCCTCAGAAAAATTGGTGTATCAGGAATATACTTGTTTGTCAACTGTGTTTTATAGGGAAACGGTCTGTGTATCATGTTTATGAAGGAAGATTTTGATAGTGCAAATTATTATCATGATGGTTCATGTTTATTTAAAGTTGAACTTGATGTATAGATTCTTCAATGAATGTTGTGTGGAAAAGCAGAATATGCACAGAAAAATTATCATTACTTTTTTGTATAAATTGAGGTTATAGACTATCATTTTTGCTTTTAAAATAGAAAATGTGTGATTTATGAGAAAAAGCAAGACTCATAGATTAATCTTTTTTTTTGAGCTGATTTTTTTTTAAACTGAGTTTAATAAATAATTTATTATTTTAATGGAATTACTCCTAATGATAATAAATCAATATAATAATAATAATTCATGTAATAATAGTAGATGAAATTCAAGCTGAAAATGTGTATAAATATCATTTTTCAGTGAAAGATTTGTATCTGTGGTAGTTCATTAAGAAGTATGTTATAAAAATGGGTAAAAAAAAAAAAAATCTCAGACTATATGTTGTTGGACTGGGCTGTATTCAGATACCAGTATTAAAACAAAGGGAAAGCAATGATTATGTGTTCACTCAACATATTGGTTTTCTAATACATGTAGTATCTTACATGTAAGATTTGTTATATATTAATTTCAATCTTTTCCATGAGGTATATTTTTTTAAATAAGATTTTTTTTTTTTATCTTTAAGCTTTAATTTTTTCAATAAATTAATATACATAATATTTTAGCACACAAATAGTTAATTTTAAGTGCATATCCTTGTTATTTACATTATATTCCATCTTAAAGAATCTATTGCCTCAATTCAATTTTTAATCAGCATGAGCACAGGATATTGAAAATCCACTATTTATACCAATAGCATTAGTTAACATTATGGTTATAATTTAATACTGGCAAAATTTAGAAAATGAGTGAAAAGTGGAATAAATTTTCACTGATTTTTTTTTCTTTTATAAATTAATTTTTTTTATTAGTCTTAAGGAAAGACTGAAGGTTAATATGTCCAAACATGATTTTTAAAAGAATTTTTCAGCTGAGATTCTGTTCAGTATATCAAACAGAGTTCTAATCATGGAGTTGAAATATCCTATGTACATCTTGCAGCAAAAGCCACCATGCCCAATCCAAACCATTCCACCATCTTCGTGACCCCATTCCAAACCCGGGTGGCCACGAATCCATTCCCTTCCATCCATGAGTCCATTCATCAAAACTCTGTAAAAACAAAAGCCAAATTCTGAAATTCTGAAAAAAATAGCTGCTGTCATGTGCTTCGACAACAATTTCTCTCACTGTCGACCATGACTTGCTGTGACCCAGGGTCCAAATTTTGCCATGACACAGAGCCATTGTTAGCCAAACCATGTTGCCAATTTAACCAATTGCCATTGTAACCATTCTATACCACAACTGACTACAGAGTTCAAGGGTATACTGTCAAAGTTAATAACCATCTGCTTATTATTTTGTTTTCATGTCAGAGTAATATTCTGGTATATGTATGCATGTTTATTCTGAACAGTGAGCAGGTATATATTTTCACTTTTCTCTTGGTATTTGTCCTCATCTTTATGTTTTGAAGCACATCTCCTTAAACATGCTTTCAAATTTTTCTTAAGTGTAAATATAGAACTGTGTACATGTCTGTTACATTTCAATGGTATTTCTTGTGTTTGTTAACTGTGAAGGTTTTGTTTTGTCTTTAATCAGGATGCAGTTCGGTATGAGAATGGAAGAGAGATCTGTGGTTCCAGTATTATAGTGGAAAGAGCCAAAGGAGCTCCGAGGAGATCATTGGCCCCAAGAGTAGGTCCATTTTTTTTATTTAAAGAGGAAATAATCACTGGGTATAGAGTTGTTCCGTAATTTTCAATTAGCACTACATATGTCCAAGCTGTGTATTGTATTTAAAAATGAAATCTTAGCAGAATTCAAGAATTAGCACATCATTGTCTGCCCCTAAGCCACTAAAATATGAAGCTTACTTCAATAAGTACACATAAAGTAGCTTTAATGTAGTTTTTTAAAAACAGTCTTGTTTTTTCTCAAAACGTATTTTTTTAAGCTGCACTTCAGCTTGTTCTGAATGAAATACATTTTCTTTTGATGGAGTTGCTAAGATGTATCTTGTGTGTCTTCCAGAGTTCTGCATATGATGATGGCTACAGATCGGGACGAAGTTCAAGGGACTACATGGACAGGTATGATAGAAGGAGTGGACCAAGAGGAGGACGGTACAGATCGCCATCACCACGACGTAGAAGGCAAGTCTACAGTAAAAGAATTCCATTAACATGCCTGTCAATAAATGTCACTAGCTTTAATAAACTAGATTGTTTCAATAGAAATTGAATATTTTATGCATCAGGAATGAAAAATGAAAGAGGCACATAATGAGAACAAATTTTATTTACATATAGGTCGAGATCTCGTTCTCGAGACAGAAGAAGACGCAGTCGGAGTAGATCTCACAGCAGACAGAGACGACGAAGATCAAGTTCTGTCAGCCCACGACGATCCAGTAAAAGGTCAAGATCTAGGTCACCAAGCAAGTCAAGAAGTAGGTCACCACAGAGTAAATCAGGGAGTGGATCTCCACCAAGAAATGGGCAGCAGAATGACAAATCTCCATCCAGGAGTCCCGCAGATGACTGAATCAAAGTTCTTTTTCTTACCATTGTTCATGCATAAAACTTTGCATTGTTAATGCATAAAATGAAATTCATTGTATCTTCCTATCAAGTATTTTAACATGAATGATTTGTCTTATTTAGAACTATTGTCTACTTTCTAGCTACGGTCTTATGACATGCATAGAAAAATTGATTTTAACAAATTTGTAAATACAAGACATTACAGTGCAATCCTGTATGTTTTAATTATGTTTTAAATATGCTTTCTCTGTGTATGTACAACATATATGTACTTACATATATTATTGCTCTTACTTTAATTTTTTGGTGCAGATAAGAAAATTGCAACAGAATATACATTAAATTGTTATGAGTAGGACTTGATACAAGTGGATTTTATTTTAGTTGTTTGATAGACAAATATCAAATGGAGTATTGTTTGATTACTTTGATTCAAGATATTAATGTTTAGTATTATCATCATTGTCCTAGTACACTTTTGTAAATAGGTTGTAAATTATTACCCACCAAAACTAATCTAAGACAAAATTAAATAGAATATTTAAATATTGTTTTGTTTTGAATTATAATGGATACTTGGGGGCACATCTGGCAGTCCCCCCCCCCCTCCCCCCCACACCTTTTTTGACCAATGGTATTTGGTGCCTGTCACATTTACAACTTTTAGAACCACAGAGCCAGATTCAACCAAACTTGCCATCCTTGGGTGAAGGGGATTCAAGTTCAAATAAAGGGCTACATCCTTTTTCAACGGGAGATAATTAAGAAACTGAAAAATTGTTGGGGTCATCTTGAGAGAAACACTTGGCTAGAAATGATGAAAAGCTTTCTGTAAAGTTAAGAATCAATTTTATGCAAGTGATTGCTTCCTGAAGTAGGGCAAGGCCGTAATGGGGGATCAAAGTTGCAAAAGAATAACTGGGAAAAAAATTGAGAGCTTTTTTTGCAGAACAGCAGGGCCATGATTAGTAATATTAATATGCAAGCATCACATATTGAAAGATTGTGTAAATCATGGTCCTAGGTGTAAGAACAGGGCTACAATAGGAACGAAGTTTCACATGGGCATATATTTGAAAAAATGTATAAAAGAACAACAGGGCCATGTTTAGTGATGTTGATATGCAAACATCATCAATTGCAAGTAGCACATATTCAATTTTGTTCAAATCATGGCCCAAAGGGGTAGGTTGGGGCCACATTCGCAGAAAAAGTTTTACATTGGATTATATATATAAAAAAAGTTTGAAGCAAGTTCATTATTTACCAAGTAATTACAAGTTCTACCCAGTCGAAACTTGTAGTGATGTAGCATCTGTGGATGCACATGAATTACCAGAATATTTATTAGTCTGAGATTTTCCTTTACCCCTTAATGTCCATCAAGGTTGTAGGTAATGTATAAGCATTTCAAAAGAAAACCAAAAACAAATACTTAATATATTTCAAAATTTTATGACACAATTTTTAATTTCAAAATTAAACCAAAATATCTGCTTAACATACTGCACTAGGCCTACTGGTTTGTACAAGGAAGTGAAAAGTGCAATCTGGACTTAAGACATTCTTTATTAAGTTTCATGAATCCTGATTTTTAGCTTACCTCGATGATGATGAGCTTATGCTATACCCCCGGCGTCGGCGTCCCGGTTAAAGTTTTAGGAGCAAGTCCATTCCCAAGAAACTATAAGCCCTACCTGGATCAAACTTGCATGGATGATGCATCTAGGGATGGACACTACCACACTTGCTTTGGATGCTGGATCTGACCTACATTATCCAGTTGAGTGACCAGGTTAAAGTTTTTGGAGCAGGTCCATTCCCAAGTAAATATAAGCCCTACCTGGACTAAACTTGCATGGATGATGCATCTAAGGATGGACACTACCACACTTGCTTCGGATGCTGGATCTGACCTAGATTTTCCAGATGAATGACCAGGTTAAAATTTTTGGAGCAGGTCCATACCCAAGTAACTATTAGCCTTACTTGGACCAAACTTGCATGGATGATGCATCTAGGGATGGAAACTACCACACTTGCTTTGGATGCTGGATTTGACCTAGGTATTCCAGATGAGTGACCAGGTTAAAGTTTTTGGAGCAGGTCCATTCCCAAGAAACTATAAGCCCTACCTTGACCAGACTTGCATGGATGATGCATCTAGGGATAGACACCACCACACTTGCTACATATGCTGGATCTGACCTAGATTTTCAAGGTGAGTGACCAGGTTAAAGTTTTTGGAGCAGGTCCATTCCCAAGTAACTATAAGCCCTACCTGGACTAAACTTGCATGGATGATGCATCTAAGGATAGACACTACCACACTTGCTTCGGATGCTGGATCTGACCTACATTTTCCAGATGAATGACCAGGTTAAAGCTTTTGGAGCAGGTTCATTCCCAAGTAACTATAAGCTCTACCTGGACCAAACTTGCATGGATGATGCATCTTGGGATGTATGCTATCCAACCTGCTTCGGATGCTGGATTCCACCTAGATTTCCCACATGAGTGAATTTTAGCCATATTTTAACCAAATTAGCATGGATGATGTACCTGAGCTAAGGATGGTCACTTCCATACTTGCTTTGGATTCTGAATCTGACCTACATTTTCCAGATGAGTGACCAGGATATTTTTTGGAGTAGCTATATAACATTATGGCCTGTTATGATTAAACTTGCATAGATGGTGCATCTAAGGATGAAAACTTCCAGACTTACTTTGGATGTTGGAACTGACCAAAATTTTCTTGATTAGTAAACAGGATAAACATTTTATGAACAGGTCTATTTCCAAGTAACTATAAGTCCAACTTAAACCAAACTTGCATAGATATTCATCTTGGGATGTACACTAACTAAAAAAAGAATATGCTGTGAAATTTGCCTTACTTAAAGATAACATTCGTCGAGGTGAGCTTCGTAATCTTTGATTACCTATGTTTTTTAAAACTTGTACTTAGTTTTAGTGAAATTAAATTAAAACTTTAGTAGTGTTTTGAAAGAATTTCCCAGAAAGATTTTTAGTAATTATATGGCAATGCTGTTTTATCAAAATAAAACGGAGGTCATACTTATGAACGAAGGGGTGACCATTTAATTTTGAAAGGAGGGGGGCAATATTTTTCTTGCCAGTGAAGGACAAATATTTCCAAGATACCCGGTAATAAGGGACAGATTATTTATTTATTAGAGTGGGTCCTTGCATTAAATTTTTGTTTGGCCATTCCAAGTTTTTTCTATGTTTAGTGTCCACATGGCCCTTGATCTTGATACCCCATATCAGAAAAAACAAAATCAGGAGTTCTGAAATTGATTATTCTATTTGAAATTTTTGATTTCTATCAATTTCCTCTAAATATTTGTTAACAAAATGTCATATTTGGTATATTTTAAGATACCTTGATTTTGCAAAATAGATCTTTCTACAAGAAAAAAAAATAAATGAAATAAAATCCTTTGAATGATGTCATTTTTATGACTATCCTAGTCTGTTTAACTTTTTGAATTGTTTGTTTCTTGCAAATAGGTAGGAAGGTTTTTAAAGGATGGGTGGATGCTAAACAGAGAGAAAAAAACTTGGAACGTCCTTAACCAAAAAATGAATATTTCTTAAACATACATTGAAGATATGCTTTCAAAAAAAAAATGAAGTGAAGACCCACTTATATAGAAAAAGTAGTATGAAGAATTTTTTTTTGTCCTTCGTGTGTGCATGCTATTTCATAGACAAATAATTTCAACATTTGTGAGATTGTCGAATTTGTGGATATTTTTCGTAAAGATTACGAATTTGCTAAATATACAAATTTGTTTTATGGAGTACAAAATATGGATGTATCAAAGTTAATTAATTCACAAGTCCCCAAGACTTCACTACATGTATAAACAAGTTTTACTGCATTCTGTTATGAATGGCCTTTAATTAAGACAGAAGCTCTGTTCAAGGTCATTGTACACACTTTACCAAAGAAAGTTTTACTTCAAAGACGGCATTAGATGAGTAACCATAAACAATCGATTTGAATTTTGTTTCAAGTAACTCATGATCAGTAACCTAATAAAATTTCGATTTTGATGCCTGTTGATTTTGATGAAAATAAATGACATGCATGTTTTGCTGAGCTGCTATGATAAAATCTTGAGTATTAAAGATTTTAAGTGCAATCTAATATCAGTCATTTTTTTAAAAATATCTTTGATAAGCAACAATCTAGAAATATTCATGTACTACAACCATTATCTTATAAACATTGGAAAATAATACAATAAATGCATGTAGTCCAATTATCACAGATAAAAATTATATTGTCTTTGCCTTCTCTTAACTATTGTAACTTTGGTTTGTTTGATGTGTTTTTCAGATCATCTGTTTTCCAGTCATATGCTGGTAAACTCTTGTGTTCTGCAAAAAATATAGAGTAAAATCAGCCTGTGATCTTGGTCTATGGAAGTCATTAGTTAATATATACAAAGACCAGAAATCTGGAATTCCTGTATATTGTATTTGTCTTTTACATTTAGACTAGTATATTATGTGTATAAAAATGTGTTCATCAAATGCTTTAGACTGAAGATTTTGGATTAGGGTGAATGTTGAGCTGAAGGTACATTTCTTCACTTAAATATACTTTAGATTTCACCTGGTAATACCAGTAAAATGTACTATAAACTACTGGAGCATTAAAATAATACCATGAACTATATAGAACATAATCTTCAGAAATTATTTCTTTAAAAAATATTTTAATAATTTTAAATAAACCTGTGCATTGGTGTATTAAGCAGTTTTCTGATTGAATTTTCACCAACCTGGTATTTCTAAACCTATACGATATAAACTGGCAGCGCCATCTACTTTAAGAGATTCTCCAGAAATGAAAGCAGCAGCGGGTGAGAGAAGGAAGCATACTGCTGCTGAGATCTACAAGATCCAGAGTTACAAATCAGTCTCCCAAATCTTAATAACAAAATTGTTTTTAAGATACTGGTACATGTACATGTATGCTGTACATGATAGTTTTAGTATTTTGATTTCTTAACACTTACTTCTGCTGGTGTCCCTAAACGTTTTGCTGGTATATTAGGAATAGAATGTCCAAATACATCAGTACAATAATTAGCTGCTGCTGTCTTGGAGTATACAACACCCTACAAGAGATATAATATTAAAAAAATAATAACACAATTTTATTTCACAATTACTGTACTTTATGTCCAAAGAAAAAAATGATGAAAGGCACATGTGGTCCATTATCCGATAACAGAGTGTCATTCTAGTCCGAGGCAATACAATATTTTTTATAGCATATCAAAACTTATAACTATGGAATTTATGTATCATGTTCCATTATACATTGCTGCTATTAGTTTTGTATAGAGCTAACATTGCCACTCTCAGAAAATTATTTCAATACGTTTAGTAAAATTGTTATTCTTTCAAAGCTGCTAAAAAAGAAACTTAAATTTTGAAGAAATCCAAGATACATGTTCTAGAAAAGATAAGAATGATTATTAATTTTTTTCCTTCAAAATTTTCTTAATCATTTTCATCATGTGATATTTCTATAATATGGTACCTACAGGAGCTACAGCATTGACCCTGACCCCAGAGGCTGCCCACTCCAAGGACAAAGATTTGGTCAGATTGTCCACTGCTGACCGTGCTGCTCCTGTGTGACTTCAATAAAATTTGGCAAATTAATGGCTATACAGTAATATATAATAAACATGTATAACTCAAAAATAAATTTCTCTTTAAAAAGAACAAGAGGCCCAAGGGCCTTAATGGTCACCTGAGTACAATACAACAATTTAGAGAATCCATAAAGTATAAAATGAACTGAAAGGTGAAGCTTTGTTGCCCAAAAGCAAGAAAAATAGGGTGATCAGGATCAACAAACTAATTAGTCTAGTATTCATTAACAGTTCATAAATTAGGTTCTAATCTGTTCCCCATTTATCACTCTCACCATACAGTATATTAACAAACTATCAGTGCTTCTGTACTATTTTAATTCCTTGTTGAAATCTCTTACATTGGCTTCTCTTGGTCTTTGATGAACATTTAACAAGACAAATTATTTTTGTCTCACTTTTATTCATTTATTACTTACAAGTCTACCTGATCATTAAAACTATGAAAGTACTTTTTGTATTATACAATAAAAATTCTTGCATAATTCTCTTATTCTATTAACCTTTCAAGTACATTATTTACAGTGATTAATTATCAAAAGTAAATGGCAAAGGGGAATAACTCTTCTCAGTAGAATACAAATTAATAGAGCTCTGGCCAGGACCAGAACACTTGACCAAATGGTTCAGATGTTCAAAAATCTGGTAAAAATACCCTTCCTTATTAAAATTTTTACTCTTTTTGCCCCTGATATGCCCTGGTGCAGAGAAGATTTTTAAAGAAATAATGCATTTTTACTACAGATTCACTATATAATCAATAGAGCCCCTCCTCCGCACCGAGAAACACCAGAGCCTCTCACCCTGGGACCAGAAGTTTGCTCATCATAAGTAATCACTTTGTTTATCTGCTTAACACTAAGGAGCAGACAGGATTATTTAATAGAATTAATGCATTTTCACTATATTATCAAGAGCCCCACCCTTACACCAGCACATCTGACCCAGGGGTCATGCAATTCACTACTCTGGAAGAAGCACTCTCGGACATCATCACTATATACTTAGCTTCTTTGCTTTTTAACCAGAAGAGAAAAGAATATTTTCAAAGAAATTTTGCTTTTTCACTATATAATCAATAGAGCCCCCCCCCCTCCCTTTTCACCAGAACCCTTGACCCTGGGGCCATGAAATTCACAATTTTGGAAGAGGCATCCTTGTGTATCATAACAATGTACTTAGTTTGTTTAAATAATAACCAGGGGCAGAGAAGAAGATTTTCAAAGAAATAATTCACCTTCACTATAGGATCTATATAGCCCCACCCTAGCACCAGAACCCCTGTCCCTGGGGCCATGAATTTCAAAATTTTGGAAGAGGCATCCTTGCTTATTATAACAATGTAGTTAGTTTGTTTAAATAATACCCAGGGACAGAGAAGAAGATTTTTAAAGCATTAATGCATTTTCACTATATATTAAATAGAGCCCTGCCCTAACATCAGAACCCCTGATCCAGGGGCCATGAAATTCACAATTTTGGAAGAGGCATCCTTGCTTATCATAACTATGTATTTAATTTGTTTCAATAATACCCAGGAGTAAAGAAGAAGACTTTCAAAGAAATAATGCACTTTCACTATATGATCTATATAGCCCCGACCTAACACCAAAACCCCTGACCCTCGGGCCATGAATTTCAAAATTTTGATTAAGTCACCCTTGCTTATCATAACTATGTATTCAATTGTTTCAATAATACCCTGGAGTAGAGAAGAAGATTTTCAAAGAAATAATGCACTTTCACTATATGATCTATATAGCCACTTTCACTATATGATCTATATAGCCCCGCCCTAGCACCAGAACCCCTGCTCTGGGGCTATGAATGTCACAAGTTTGTAGAGTCACCCTTGCTTATCATTACTATGTATTCAATTTGTTTCAATAATACCCAGGAGTAGAGAAGAAGATTTTCAAAGAAATAATGCACTTTCACTATATGATCTATATAACCCCACCCTAGCACCAGAACCCCTGACCCTGGGGCCATGAATTTCATAATTTTGGAAGAAGCATCCTTGTGTATCATAACAATGTACTTAGTTTGTTTAAATAATAACCAGGGGCAGAGAAGAAGATTTTCAAAGAAATAATTCACCATCACTATAGGATCTATATAGCCCCACCTGAGTGACCTATTGCTATCTTTAATTTGTTCACTCTTCCAGAAAATGGGTCAGATTCAGCATCTAGTGTTCATCCCTGGAAGCATCATCCACACTTTTTTGTTTCAGGTAGAGCTAATATTCACTCATCTGGAAAATGTAGGTCAGATACAGCTTCCAAAACAAGTTTGGCAGTGTTCATCCCTAGATGCTTCATCCATGCAAGTTTGTTTCAGACAGGGGCTATATTCACTCATCTGGAAAATGTAGGTCAGATCCAGCATCTGAAGCAGAACGGGTTAAGTGTACATCCCTAGAGGCATCATCCCCTCAAGTTTGTTATAAGGAATGCTTATAGTTTCTTGGGAAACGACCTGCTTGAAAAACTTAGACCTGTTCACTCATGCAGCTGGAAAGTGTAGGTTATTAGATCCAGCATCTGAAGAAGGTCAGGTAGTGTATATCCCTAGAGGGATCATACCCTCAAGTCTGGTATAATGAAGACTTATAGTTTCTTGGGAAATGGTCTGCTCCGAAAACTTATACCTGTTCACTCATCCGGAAAATGTAGGATCCAGCACCTGAAGCAAATCTGGTAGTGTCCATCCCTAAATGTGTCATCCATATGCAAGTATGGTCCAGGTAGGGTTTATAGTGACTTGGGAATGGACTTGGTCCAAAAACTTTAACCTGGTCACTCATCTGGAAAATGTAGGGCTTATAGTTATTTGGGAATGAACATGCTCCAAAAAATTTAACATGGATGCTGATGCCAATGCCAGGGGTATAGCATAGGCTTCGTCAAGGAAGTAAATTTTGGCTAAATTACCTCATCATAGGGAATCCCCTCCACATATCAGCAATAATGTTAATAATAACACCACCATGCTGGCACATCCACTGGTTATACACTGAAAAATTTCGCAATGTTTAAACATTGATGTGGCAAGTGCTGTATTTTTAACAACCTTGATGGTCTGAAGAGTATTATATTTCCATATAAGCTACTGTTATGTCACATCCAAGCTCAAGAAAGGATTTCTTTTCACCAACTTTGAACTATTTTTTCTTTCCTGAATTAAAATAATCAACACATTAACAAAAGAATTTTGCATTTTCTATCCAATGATCTTAATCTTGTCAAATGACCTTTGAGACTTGGGTTTTCACAGGCCCTTGAATAATTTGTAACTAGCTTATATTGTGGGGGCATTAAGTATTCTTCCATTTCTTATAGTTTAAATTACATGTATATATACATGTATATTCAATTATATTGTACAAATTGATTTATGTTTATACCCTGATACTTTAAACCTCACGAATTGTATGATTCTTGGTAATAAACAACTACACAATACCACTGATCTACCTATCAAATCTCCATTACATACACAATCACTCATAATATAATAAATGATATATTTTGGGAAAAAAGCAAGGCTATCATGGTTATAATAAATTGTCACAATAATTTAAAATATAATTATTCATTTATAAACAAATGTAAAATAAACACTAAGTCTAGGAGGAGTAGCTGTTGCATACCTTCTCTGCAACATAAAAATGTTCCTGTAAGGTTTGTCTCTATAACAGCATTCCAGCCCTTAAGACTAAAAGAAGAAGCAGGTCCTGGAAACTGCCCCCCTCCATTGTTTACAAGGAAGTCAATTTTACCAAACCTTGACAAAGTTTCTGAAACCATTTTTTCAACCTGAAAGGCAGAGTTTGGCAAATCTTATAATTAAGATTGTACATCAAAGTACAAATGTAATTAATCACCACTCTTAGTGAATAATATGAAAAAACTACTGCATGGGCAGGTGGTAAATCTAGACTGTCGACACCCAACTCTTTTGGATTAATATTTTTTGTTGACATTCTCCACATCGCTTAACAGATTTGGTTCAAACTTTTCAGGCATGTTAACTACAGTTGAACTTTGGTATCTCGAACACAGATATCTCGAATACCATGGATATGTCGAATCGTTTTGAAGTCCCAACTGCTTATTCCTTAAGTATTATACCCTAGATATCTCAAATGCTCGGATATCTCAAAGTATTTTCACGGTCCCTTGAGTTCGAGATAACGAGGTTTGACTGTATGTTGAACTAAATTCACATGGACATAAAAATATCAAAAATATTATGAATGGTGGCATTTATGAGCCTAATTGAGCAGTTTGATGGATCGGTACATCCATGTTTGGTTTCTACATTTAAAATTTAATACTAGATTTCACCGCCTTTGGACAGATGTCATTAACATATATAACACTGATGATATATTTATGTATGTGGGAACTAACTTTAACGTAGCAAATATGCCTAAGTAGTTGGAAGCAATTATTTTGGGTGAAATGAAAAATATAAATAAAAATTTGCAATTCAGAACAAATGGGAGTCAGAAATCAAAAATTCTTGATTTATTATATTATATGTAACATTGTTCACATATTTATTGTATGTGTGAATGCATTTCAATGTAGAAAATGTGCCTGACAAGTATATGAAGTGATTCTGTACAGCAGAATGAAGAATACATGTATATCAATAAATGGATATCAATAGAAAAGCAAGAGAGTTGGGAGTGGGGAGACAGCAGTACTAGATTTACCGCTCGCCTACTATATGTACAGACAAATCTAAGAATATAGTTCAAGTGAAACCCTACCTGATCTTCTTTCCGAATGTTACATTGGATATTGCTTATTTCTGCTGGACTTTCCTTTGGAATATTTTTCTTAATGTCTACTGTTGCTGAAGCAAGTCTCTCCACATTCCTTGATGCTATCATTACTTTGCATCCTGAACATGAAATTTCTATAGTATATATTTGATTATTTACCTAAATTACAGTCATTTTACCGGTAACAAATATTTGCCAGTATCGAATAGTTTCTTAATTAAATATTCTAGAAAAATATAGTAAAAGGTTTAAAAAAAATCTTATTAGATAAATACAATAAAAGGATGAATATTCTACCCCTAGGCCTGTGTTGTATTTTTGCAATATTTGCGTGATTATATTTTCCACAGTATTTCCAATTTGAAACAGTGACCTAGATTTGAACATGAGCCAGTGCAAGTCAGAGAAAATGAAAGTGCATGTGTAAACAAATGCGTCTAAATCAAAATTTTCAATATTTTGTCGATTCAGATTGAGTATGTAATCAATATTTAGTATAAATATAACAAGTTAAAATAATAAATTAAACAATAATTTACTTTTAAATGAAATTTTAACATCCAAACTAACCATGTGTTGTTTTCTTAGTTACAAATCATGAATTTTTCAATTTTCATATTGTTTATTTTTAGGAAAAAAAATCCTTTAAATCAACATGTATTGCTTAAATACTTTATAGAGAATTTTCTTGAAGGCATGCTTCTACAATAATTTCGTTTAGCTGATTTTATTTACTTTATTACTAAGTCAGCAACAATAGAAGGCACTTGATTCGGATACTGAAACTAAGAAAATAGGGTGTTGTTGTTTTTGACATCTCTGTACCTGTTCCATTCATATTTTGGAAATTTTGTTACCACTTATTTGAAAAGCTCAGAAATACAAATTAAACAACAACCAAGAACATTTGGAAATTTGAACACGTAAGTAGCGTGCAAGACATAACAACAAACCCAATCGTTACTGGTAACCAAATAACGAAATTTAACCAGCTGTTAACGTAACGTATCGCATAAATATAATCAATAAACCTAAATGTAAGAGCTCCTGGGTTATTGCCTGCCCAATGCCAGTGCTGCCACCAGTCACAATGGCCACTTTTCCGTTGAATAATCCCGACCTGAAAATACTGGAAACTCTTCCAATGGAACTCGCCATATTGGCGTCATGTGACCTTTTGAAAGTTAAGCGTGAACCCGATTGAAAAATCTTTAAACAGTAATCAAACATTAAAACCTTTTCTACAGCTATTCTATAAAATTGAGTAATTAAACGAGTATGTCATTTAAAAATCACCAGGTTCGCAAAGATCAGGCCTTTTTTGGGATGGCCATTTGAATCTGAATTGGGGGGGGGGGGGGGGGGCTGGCAGATATTGGAAATAAATAATCTGTCCTCGAAAATGTCGAAAATAAATAATAACGACCGGCAAGAAAATAATAATCTGTCATTGACAAGTTGTAACCCCCACCCCCTACACACACCCTCCCCATGAAACCATGAAATAAGAGGGTTTTTTTATTTTTTTTATTTTTTTTATTTTTTTGCTTGTCAAACTTTTTTTCAGAGAAGAGGAAAATAAATAATATGTCTTTGATCATCTTAAAAATAAATAATCTGTCCTTGATTCCCCCCCCCCCCCCCCCCGAATCAAATGGTCGTCCCTTTATTAAGTATAGGTCTTCAGAGTAAATTGTATAAATTATTAATTAAATCATTTCGGACAGATTACACGTTTTGTGAACGTATATATATAGCATAAGATATGACATGATTTATGATAACGTGGTGACTTCAACTTTTCTATCGTCAACAACATCCCTTACTTGTATATTAAAAGTCGTTAATAACAACTTCTTATCTCGTAATAACGACTTTTTATCTAGTTATTAAGACTCTTTCCTTTTTTTCCTAATTTGACCCTTCTATAGGCTTTCGAAACTATCAGATCAAACAAGCAACAAAATACACAGTACAAACTTTTATAAGCACAAACAGTTTTGTTTCATATTAACATTACGAACTGTAGCGTAAAAAATATTGCACTTGAAACTTTACAAAATGAACAAATTTCTCAAAATGGAAACATTTAGTTTTTAAATGACAATTCTGTTTGTGAATAATTTAGTTGAAAAAAAATAAGTAAAAATTAATTATCTCTGCACTTTTGTCCCCCAAAAAATGCCAGTGGAAGAAAACGATCAATGCATTTCATTAAGTTTTAACTGCAAAGCTGTTCAAACAACTTTAGAATTTAATTTTAATTTAAAATTAAAACATTGGCGGTATTATGGTAACGTAAATATCGGTAACGTAAATATTTTATGAGATTTATCATGTCTTTTAATGTTTTTGTTAAAATATTCCACTTTTAATTAAGAAGCATACTTACTCCTTGAGTGTAGGTCAAGTTGAACGATGGAAAACAGTATTGTTCTCTTATGTATTTGTGAATAAATACTAACACGTAAATTCATTGAAATCTGTAACCTCTGGATTTATAACAAAAGGGAAGCAATATTCGATAAACCTAAATAAACACTGTTTTTGTACCATTACACATAATAGCATAATTATATAGTTCTTGATATTAAAAAAATCATAACATAATCATATTATATATACGTCATTTCATCAAAGCTGCAATAACATTTCAGCATACACATGGGCAAATACAAAAATTCGATAACTAGGCCAAAATAAAAAATAGGTTTGTTTCCCCTAACGCGACCGACCCGCTTAAATCATGCCGACTGAAAAGTTTTTTTAATAAGATTATTCAAATATTTATTTTTATTGTTTATCAACTTTATAAAACACAATTTATCAAAATTCGTTTTTTATCAGAACGGCGGCTTTTGTTTTACTCTCATTTGGCGCCCACGAACAAGTGTTGTAAAACAACGGCGATGTATCAATCTTAATATACATCTTTAACTTATTAGAATCCTACACTCTTGAAACATTTCGTGAATTCCATATACCATGACTAAGGATTGTTAAGATGGTATTTACAAATGTGTCTGCTAAAATTAACTTACGTAGTAAGCATGACAAAGCCTGCCTCATGAGCAGAAGAGGGGCCCAATTTGTATATGCATATCAATAAATTTCACTCCATTTCATTCGTTTCGATCTAAAAAACACTTCATGTATGTTTCTATTTTTACTATATAGGACCATATGATTTGCAAATATATCTTTGTATAATTATTTCATCTTGATGAATATGATTCGGATGTCGTTTCTTCATTCCTTTTATTTATGGGGTAAACTTCGTGACTATAACATTAGATATATGAAACTTTAATCATTTTAGATATGGTTTGGTTGAATTAAATATTGTTTATACAGATACTCTCTTTTCAAATAGTGTTGAAATCTTTAAAGTTGGCTTATGGTACGGCTTCCTGAGACGTCCAGTGTATTTATCTTTTCTTTAGTTGGGCCCTTGAAAATAGGTTGTTTCTTTGCTTTAAAATACCTTTAAAAATTGCTGGTTCGACAACACCTGCCTGGCGGAGGGCTCCTAATTTAGACTTTTTCTCGGCACTTATGGCCATTGATCATAAAGCATCAATAAGGAATCTTTATCGTGCCAACATCTACATGTATACTGTGACACTGCATGGCACTACGTTTTTTACGGTCTCATTTGACTGACTAGTTTCCACGCCCCACGTCGGGACATGTGACTTAGAATAAGCTCCCGAATTACGCCGTGACTCCAAAACGAAACACTAGAATTACTTCGCCACGCAAGGCCCTTGACATTTTATGTCTGTAAGCACTCGAAGATGATAGTAGGTTTGAAAAAAAAAATATACTCGGATGGCCGATGGTTGAGTATTTGCGAATCTTGTCTTTTTGTAAAAATTCAATTTCAAAAAATTTACGCTGGCCTGAGGTATTTCACAAGTTCAAATGAATAGTATTTGTGAATTAATTTACCATACATGTTGCTTTTAAATTTCATTTGTATGATATTCGGTTTAAAAATCGGTTTCCTTTGTTCTTTCTTATTTATAGAGATATTATTCAATTTTCAGAATGTATTTTCAAAACTGCATGCTGTCAGAAAAAAAAAATAATTTACCTACCTACCTACTCAGCTTGAAATTTTAGGGTCGGGTTAGGGGAAACAAAGATATTTTTAATGATGGCCCTATATTAAAAATTTTAAAAATTTGTGTTACGCATATGTGTGAAGGGCGATATTCGTTAAATATAGCTTAAATGTAGGACGATGCTCTGTAATGATTTCAAGCTTCTTCCCAATTTAAAATAAAAACTACACAATGATCGTATTTTAATATCGATTTATGCTATAAAATGTGAATTTCTTCTCAAACAGTCGTTGAAATTACAAAAATCAAACAAATGTTGGGATTTAATCAACTATAACAATGGTTCATATGACTGGCAGAAATAAAAATTCTTATAAATGTTATATTCTTTTAAACACGGTACATTATTTAAAACGTATTTAGAATCAGCGAGTAAATCATTACATGTACATGTATCACTAGCACTTGGAGTTTATGTCTCCCAGTTGATTCGACACGCAAGAGCATGTTCTACGTAGTCCTGAAAATTTTTTGAACATGAGACAGGCTTATGACAAATTAGTTGATGATACAAGGATATCAACATTCTCGTTTAAAGTCAACATTTCGCAAATTCTATGGTCGGTACTATTACTGACCTTGTTGTTTGCAAAACAGTACAATCTATTGCTAACTCGATTGTTGACTGACGCCTTTCATAGAAATTTAGGCCATCATTTTAAACTGAATTGTCTATGATTTTATATTGTTTTGTTCGTTTACCCGATCATGACAAGGAGCACATAGCGTTTGCAACCGATCCGTCCACAGGGAACTCAATAAAGTTATGTGTAGATACATATCATGCGCGGATCAAGGGGGGGGGGCGAGGGCGAGGGGGTCCGGACCCCCCCCCCCTGGAATTTGCAGAGTAATTAAAAGTATATACGGAAGCAAGTAATAACAAGAGGCCCAGGGGCCACATCGCTCACATGAGCACTGTGGCTAGGAAAAAAGCAAGAATCAGTTTAGTATTGCAATGCTTAAATGCATAAGTGGTCCCGACCTACCCCTAAAAGGGAGGGGGTATGATTTGAACAAATTTGAATCTACACTAACTAAGGATGCTTACATATTTTTTTTTTGACTAACTGTGCCTTTTTTCCTACAAGTTTAAACTTTCATTGTGGCCCCTATCTACCCCCGGGGGTCATGATTTGATCAAACTTGAATACTAGTATACACTATTTGAGGATGCTTCCATATAAATATGACCAATCATGGCTTTACTGTTCTTGAGAAGAAGATTTTTTAAGACTTCTCCTAAATATTCCTATGTAAAAGTTTGATCGTCCATTGAGGCCCCACCCTACCCCGGGGGTCATGATTTGATCAATTTGAATCTACACCACCAGAGGATGCTTCCATATAAATATGACCAATCATAGCTTTGTTGTTCTTGAGAAGATTTTTTGATTTTTTTCTTATATACTCCTACATGTATGTAAAACTTTGATCGTCCATTGTGGTCCTACCCTACCTCCAGGGGTCATGATTTGAAGAAAATTGAATCTACATCACCTGAGAATGCTTCCATATAAATATGACCAATCATAGCTTTGCTGTTCTTGAGAAGAAGATTTTTGAATATTTTCCCCATATATTCCTATGTAAACTTTGATAGCCCACTGTGACCCCACCCTACCCCCAGGGGTCATGATTTGAACAAACTTGAATCTACACTACCTGAGGATGCTTCAATATAAATATGACCAATCATAGCTTTGTTGTTCTTGAGAAGAAGTTTTTTTTTAAAAAAAAAGATTTTCCCTATGTATTCTTATGTAAAACTTTGATCTCCCACTGTGGCCCCACCCTACCCCGGGGAATAATGATTTGAACAAACTTGAATCTACACTACCTGAGGATGCTTCCATGTAAATATGACCAATCAAGGCTTTGCTGTTCTTGAGAAGAAGGTTTTTAAAGATGCTCCCTATGTATTCCTATGTAAAACATTGATTGCCCACTGAGGTCCCATCCTACCCCTGGGGGTAATGATTTGAACAAACTTGAATCTATACTACCTGAGGATGCTTCCATGTAAATATAACCAATCAAGGCTTTGCTGTTCTTGAGAAGAAGGTTTTTAAAGATGCTCCCTATGTATTCCTATGTAAAACATTGATTGCCCACTGAGGCCCCATCCTACCCCTGGGAATAATGATTTGAACAAACTTGAATCTACACTACCTGAGGATGCTTCCACATAAGTTTCATATTTTCTAACACAGTGGTTCTTGAGAAGAAGATTTTTGAAAGATGCCATAAATTTTTCATGAATTCGCAATTATGTCCCCTTGGAAGAAGGCGTGGCCCTTCATTTTAACAAACTTGAATCCCCTTCACCCAAGAATACTGTGTGCCAAGTTTGGTTGAAATTGGCCAAGTAGTTCTGGAGAAAAAAATGAAAATGTGAAAAGTTTACGACAAAACGACGACAACGACAGACAAACTTTGATCAGAAAAGCTCACTTGAGCCTTTGGCTCAGGTGAGCTAAAATGACTTTGGACCCCCCCCCCCCCCCTCGAAAAGTGGACCCCACCATCATCACCACCACGGAATAGGTGTTTTCACCTTTGGGAAATGGATTTTTTTGTCGAGAAATTTTTGGGTTGAATTTTTTGGACAACCCCCACCCCTTGGAAAAAAAATCCTGGATCCGCGCCTGCATGTATAAGAACATTGGCCTTGTCATATTTTGAATTTTGCTCTTTTTAGGAGCATTTTTTTAATTAAATTTCAAAATATTTAAAATCATTTGTACATAAATAAATTTAGAGAGTTATACAGTTATCTATTTGTCATGGTGTGCTGCAGGTTTGACTGATCGTTATGTTCGCATTTATTGAAATAGCAACTGGAAAGAAGGCAATTAGTAGGCATTAGGCCTACTAATAACCCTTTTTAAGTTTACTTTTAAAAGCATCAAGTTCACTGAAAGTAAATACAGGCATTGAGTATGTGCATGTATTAAAAATTTGCACATAAATTTCAATATTTTCATTAACTTCCAGTGCCTATGAAAGCATCATGTAACATGTGACCATGTGATTTTATCTCCATCCAGGTCAATCTGGTCTTTGGTAAAACAGGGTTTTAGTCCGTTCTGCATGATTATCGAAAACGAAAGTAGGAAATTCTCCGACTCATGTTACATATTTCTTCAGTTTATAAAATTCATTTTTTAGAAATATGTTTAAGCCCGTGGATATCGGTGATAGTTGCCCTTTAGATGAGACAGCATGGAACCAAAAGAAATCAACTTCCAACTGTTCAGGTGTCTTACCATACCATTGCATCCCAGACAATAGGCGTGTCCCGGGCGAAATCTGTATTGGGTTAATCTGGGTTCCACCGAGTAAGTGATTTAAATCTTAAAGGCTTGAAACTAAATATTTACGAACCAGTCAGTGGCGGACTTGGGGTAGGTGGTTGGAGGTTTGGGAACATCCCCCATCCCCCGCAGTAGGCAAGCGGTAAAGCAAGTACTGTACTGTTTACTGCCGACTCCCTGGGATTAATGAGATTAATGTTTCTCATTGATCCGCTTCATACTTTTCAGACACATTATTTATGTCGAACTCAATTCAAGTAAACATCAAAATATGAAAAGTATTACGAATGGTGGCATGAATGGACTAAAATTGAGCAGTTCGAAGAATCACTGTATCTGTTTTAGGTTTCTGCACAAGCTGCATTTATACTTACAGTACTAGATTTTACCACTGGACAGCTGACATTACCATACGTAACATTGTTAACACATTTATGTATGTGAGAATTTAACTATAAAATAGTAAATATGCCCAGAGAGTTGAAATTGATTCTTTTTGGTGAAATGAAGTATTGGTAATAAAAAAAAAAAACAATCCAGAAATCAAAAGTTCTTATTTATAATTTGTCATATTAGGCCTTTGTGTAACAATATTGACATATTTATATATGTATGAATGTATTTCAATGTAGAAAATGTGTTCTGTCCAGCAGTATGAAGAATATCAGAAGAAAACCGAGAGAGTAGGGCATCTGCAGGCTGCAGCATTATAGGTTTACCACCTGCCCTCAATCACTCTATCAAGGCTTTAAAAAGATTAGAAACAGGTGGTAGCTTGTGGAAACAGTTTTAAATAAATCCATGTATGTTATTAGTTTCTCTCAATTGAATATTTTGGCCAGTACAAACATTATTTAACTGGGTAAAAGAGCACTGGCATGGGCAGACTTTGAAAGGCCTACTCTATGCATGATTTTTTTTTTTTTACAAGTGTCATAGAGTAGTTACATTCCTGACTACACAAGTCACAATGGTGACACAATGGATCACAACTAGAGAGGTTTATTTTCCCAATATCTGATTGTGAAATCATTGTATTATAAACAAAATTTCAATCCCCCCCCCCCCAAAAAAAAGTCATATTTTATTCATGTAGTTCAGTAAAGTAAAATTCATCTTCTTGCTAGAATGAATAAAAAAATTATCATTTCCTGAGTTTTTTTTGTGTTGTTTTTTTATAATTTGAGTCAGGCCATTTTTAGTCATTTGGATGGGAAAAGATGAACAGACAATTAAGATAACCTAATCTGTGTGTTTTTGTAAACAAAATGATGTACAGTTGAACTTTGGTATTGAACACTGATATCTCGAATACCATGGATATGTTGAAGTGAATTGGAAGTCCCAAGTACTTATTCCTTAAGTATTTTACCCTCTATATTTCAATTATTAAATCCTCGGATATCTCAAAATTTTTTTTGGTCCCATCGAGTTTGAGATAATGAGGTTTGACTGTAGTTAGATAAACTCCGGCCATTTGATTTTTTGTGATATCATGCATTGCACCTTTGAGGAAAAAACAAACTGCATACAATCATACTAATTATGTATTGTATTTGTATATGAGGTTTGTTGCATAGCTTTGTCCTAGCTTTCAATCTCGCTTAATGACCCAATTTTTTTTACCTTACAGTTACCTGGGGAGAGGGAATGGTCTTATTAGTACACTGTCAGATGTTATTTACCTGGAGTGCCCTAACACTCGAGATGCCAAAAATTCAAGTTTGCAATTCATTTTACTTTGATGATTTTTTCCAGATTTACTGGCCATACCAGTACCTGGGGACTCCAGTATTGCTTAGTAATTACAAAATGCTTGTTTTAATGTTATGCTGAAACATGTACTTGATAATTTTTTTTTGTTGATTTGTTTTTGCAATTTAGATTACTGTCCTGTGTATAACCTAAATGCTGAAAAATTAGATGTGGAAGCATGTGACCTTCAGCGAGGGATCTGTTCAAACAAGGATTTTCAATCTCCAGAGGTGTACAAATGTAAGCATTTTTATGCCCCCCTTCGGAGAAGGGAGGGCATATTGCTTTGCTTCTGTCTGTCTGTCGGTCAGTCTGTCTCTCTGTCGGTCCACCAACAGTTTCCATTCATTTTCTTCGTAGAGGTTGCACATACTGAAATAAAATTTGGTACACAGATTTATCATAAGAATATCTAGGCCATGTTCTGTTTTGGGTAGGATCCAGCAATTTTTGACAGAGTTATGCCCCTTGGACTTGAAAAATTCCAATTATTTGCAGTTTCAGTTCACTTTCTTCGCAGAGTTGCACATACTGAAATGAAATTTGGTATACAGATTTATCATAAGAATATCTAGGTCAAGTTCTGTTTTTGGGTACGATCGAGCAATTTTTGACAGAGTTATGTCCGTTGGCCTTAGGAAAATTCCAATTATTTGCAGTTTCCATTCATTTTCTTTGCAGAGGTTGCACATACTGATATGAAATTTGGCATACAGATTTATCATAAAAATATCTAGTTTAAATTCTGTTTTGGGTACGATTGAGCAATTTTTGACAGAGTCATGCCCTTGGACTTAGAAAAATTCCAATTATTTGCAGTTTCAGTTCACTTTCTTCGCAGATGTTGCACATACTGAAATGAAATTTGGCATACAGGTTTATCATAAAAATATCTAGTTTAAATTTTTTTTGGGTACAATAGAGCAATTTTTGACAGAGTTATGCTCCTTGAACTTTGAAAAATTCCAATTATTTGCAGTTTCTGTTCATTTTCATTGCAGAGGTTGCACATACTAAAATGAAATTTGGTATACTGATTTATCATGAAAATATCTATAAGGTCAAGTAAATCTGTTTTGGGTACGATCGAGCAATTTTTGACAGAGTTATACCCCATGGACTTAGGAAAATTCCAATTATTTGGGGGGGGGGGGGGGGGGGGGGGACATACGTGTTTCACAAACATCTCTTGCTAATTTAGTATCCATATGTAACAGTTGCATAAAAGCAGTTTTTTATCAGTTAATTTATGTAAGAAAGGTATTCCCTGATTATTTATTTGTATTTTCTCAAGTAGATATGTGCTGTATGTTATATGTGTTATGTAAGAAAGGCCTAGGTATTCCCTGATTATTTATTTGTATTTTCTCAAGTAGATATGTGCTGTATGTTATATGTGTAAATGTATAATAAACATGACAAACAATTTACCCTTTTCCATATCACATCCTGTATCAGCCTTTGGATCTTCGGCCAGCTGATACAGGATGTGATATAGAAAAGGGTTTGTATTCTCTCTCTCTCAATAGGTTCCACAGTGTGTGCTTGTTAGGTACCAGTTTTCTCTAGCTTGAGTTCCTTTACTTTTTTAGAATTATCAAAAAAAGTTATGGAATGAGAGTTAGAGAAAACTGGTAACTACTAAACACACATCATTGAACCTTTTTTTCCCTTTACGACAATTCTTCAAAACTATCTACATATTAAAAAATATTAGTGTTTGAAATGCAAAATGTGACATCATAATGGGTGTTCCAAGCTAACATGTTAGAGAACCAAAAAAAAAAAAAAAAAAAGAATCACAGCATGGGAGTAATGAAACTATAGCAGTAATGGGAGAAAAATATATACCGGTATATATCACAATCCACTTGTATTTCCATTGACTAGATAACTTACTTAGAGTGTTTTCTTTACATTTAGATACAGGGTGCCTGAATATCACAAGACAAAAGTAAGTTTTTCCCTTACCTTCCTTTAGCATGTTCAATGATGTTTAGATATATTTATTACTATGGATGCTGCCCCAAACATAGTGTTTCAGAATTTCATTAAATGAATAATTAAAAGTATAAAAATCTTACTTGTTTAAAAATTTTACAACTTGTAGTATTTCTGAAATCATCTGCTCTAAGCCTTCAGACTCAATTTAATTTACAATAAATACAATATACAGTAACAATTTCAGGAGCATGAAGGGGTAAGACTGAGCTTTCATTTAACTGAGCGGCTTTTAATTTTAGTATAGACTAATGAGGTTTATTGCCAAGCAGCTTATACATGTACTTCAAAATACCATGTTTGAGCAGGGTGCAAGTGATGGATTGAGGTGGTCTGACAAAGGGAGATCTTATTGTATCCACACATGCAAATAAATAATACATTTAGATGAATTTGATAATGTTTGAGGGTGCTAACAATAAGTATCAGTATCTGTTTTCGTGCATCGTCAGTCGTGAGATGTGTGCCGTGTGTTTACTGTGTTAACATTTAAACATTTTCAGCTTCTTCTCTTCAAACACTTAACCAATTTCAACCACTTTTGGCATGTAGCATCTATGGGAGAAGGGGAACAAAAGATTTGAATTTCATTGTCCCTGCCCCCCTGGAGCATAAGTGGTGGGGCTAAAACTACCAAAATTAATGCAATCTTTAAAAAATCTTCTTCTTTACTCCTGGACATCAAGCAGTCAAACTGTTGGCATGATTGTAATAAGCATCGAGTCCTCTACTAAAATTATGAATTTCATGGCCTCAGAGTCAGGGGTTCTGATGTTAGGATGGGGCACATGCAGGCCCCTGACATTATTTATTTTTCTTTTAATAAAAAAATATACCCCTTACCTAATAGGGGGTATATTTTTTTATTGAAAGAAAAATAAGTAATGTCAGGTGCCTGTGGGATGGGGCTATATAGATCATATAGTGAAAGTGCATTATTTTTTGAAAATCTTCTTCTCCGCTCCTGTGTTTTAAACAAACAAATTAAGTACATAGTAATGATGAGCAAGGATACCTCTTTTTAAATTGTGAATTTCATGACCCCTGCTTCAGGGGTTCTGGTGTTAGGATGGGGCTCTATTGATTATATACCAGTAGTGAAAATGCATTATTTCTTTGAAAATCTTCTTCTCTGCTCCTGGATATCATTAAACAAACTAGTAAGTGCATTGTTATGATAAGCAAGGATGCCTCTTCCAAAATTGTGAAATTCATGGCCCCAGGGTCGGGGGTTCTGGTGAAAAGGGGGGGGGGGTTATAATTGAAAAGGCATAATTTCTTTGAAAATATTCTTTTCTGTTTCTGGTTATAAATCAAAGAAATTAATGTATAGCTATGATGAGCAAGAGTGCTTTTTCCAGAATTGTGATTTTCATGGCCCCTGGGTCAGATGTTCTGGTGTAAGGGTGGGGCTCAATTGATAATATCATGAAAATGCATTAATTTTATCAAATAATCCTGTCTGCTCCATAGTATTGAGCAGATAAGCACAGTGCATTGTTTAAGTTATGATGAGCAAGGGTGCTTCTTACAAATTTTTTAAAGTTGCGGTCCCAGGGTCAGGGAATCAAGTGTTTCTCTGGAAGGGGGGGGGGATGTCTATAGATAATATAGTGAAAATAAGTTAATTCTTTGAAAATCTTCAGCTAAGTGCATAGTTATGATGATGAGGGTACCTCTTTCAAATATGTGATTTTCATGACCCTGGGTCATGGGTTCTGGTGTTAGGGTAGGACTGTGTTGAATCTGTAGTGAAAATGCATTATTTCTTTGAAAATCTTCTCTGCTTCTAGGCATATCAGAGGAAGTGTAAAAGTTTTAATAAGCAAGGGTATTTGTACCAGATTTTTGAACATCTGGACCATTTGGTTAAGTGTTCTGGTCCTGGCCAGACTCTTTTAATTTCTATTCTACTGAAAGAAGTTATTCCCCTTTGCCATTCACCTTTGATAATAAATCACTGTAAATAATGTATTTGAAAGTTTACAGAATAAGAAAATTATGCAAGAACTTTTATTGTACATGTATAATACAAAAAGTACTTTCATAGTTTTAATGGTCAGGTAGACCTGTAAATAATAGATAAATAAAAATAAGACAAAAATAACTTATTAAATGTTCTTCAAAGATCAAGAGAGGCCAATATGAGAGGTGACAATGAGGGAGTAAAAATAGTACTGGTGTACTAACATTTTGTTAATAGTTTGCATGGTAATAATGATAAATGGGGGACAGATTAGAACTTGATTTACGAGATGTTACTGAATAGACTAATTATTTCATTGCTATTTCTCTTGCTTTTGGGCAACAAAGCTTCATCTATCGGTTTATTTTATGCATGTACTCTATGGCTCTTCTAAATTGTTGTATTATACTCAGGTGACCATTAAGGCCCTTGGGCCTCTTGTTAATTATTTCTGTCATTAATTAAAAAAAACCAAAAAAATTTGCTAATATGTAATGAACTAAAACCTGGGATATTCAAGCACGTCTGTATATTATATAGTTAGTGGAATATCACAGCCGAAGTGGACTACATCCATACACATAAATGGCATGTGTGCAAGTGGCGACTTTCACTGCAACCTATTCTTTGTTTTCAGAATACATGTACATAAAATATTTTTATCATTTGTATGGTTTACTTTGACCAGTGATGGAACCTAAAGTAAGGATAAGTGCCGCTGATTCTCTTAATATTTGGCATCAATTATTGCGCCATTAACATCCATATGAAGTAAATGAGATCAGTAAATATCATTTTCTGTATAATTTTATTTTTGGCAAAATTCATATTATAGCGCAGGTGACAACCAGTACTATTTTAATTGTGTGAATAAGAAATGTACAAATGAAATAACATGCAGAATACAAAAGTGGTTGTTGCATGTACAAGGGTCTAATTTCAGCAAAGATTACTTATTTTACACTACTATATATTAACGTCTTTTTGACCAATATTCCATGTTTAGAGCATATTAGTGACTTCATAATAAAAAATTACGTCATTTTTGTGACTGTGGAATTTATTCGCATCTTGCTCACTTCACTGCTCAACATCAATAAAGGAAAGAAAGAAGATTAAAATATCGTAAATTTTGCGGGCAATTACTGTTGATACCGTATCTTTTTCTTTATTATTTAAAAAAATAATAAATCACTTACAAAAATTAGGTATTTTAAATAATAGGTTTTTAAAAAACCGTCATTTTATTTTAAGTGTTATTTTAAGTTTAAATTTTTAGACAGTTCAGTAAGAATAAAGTGACATGGGTATCATAAATCAATTATTGATGAATATAAGAGGAATTAAATTATTAACACTTTTGAGTATGTACCATTGCCTCAAACATCTGGATTAATGCTGTTGATGTTCCCTATCTTTAATTGATCCTGATTAAAAAAGTCATTATTTAACAGAAATCAATTCATATTACATGTACATTCCTTATTTTATTCTCCAATATTGCAATAACTGCATGTAAGGCTTGTATATGTTACGTGCATTATCCATTGATAATTAATTGTCAAATAATTAATAATTATTTTATATATTACAGTTTAATTAATCAAAAGCTGAATATTCCACATACAAGTGAAAAAAATGCTTATTCCAAATACCGGAATAATCATGGAGAGGTACCACCAGTTCTATTGCTGGGTGTCAATAATTTTATTGCATGATATTTCTGATTTAATATCTTTTTCAACTTCACATATAAACCTTATGGCTCATACATAATTATACCTCTTACTGATTAAGTCTGGTCTTTTTAGCTCCTGAGCCAAAGGCTAAAGTGAGCTATCAAAATTTGTCCACTGTCTGTCGTTGTCCACGTTGTTGTCGTTGTCATTGGCGGATAGAATTTTTACAATTTAATCTTCTTCTCCAGAACCGCAGGGCCAATTTCAACCAAACTCGGCACAGAGTAAAGGGGATGCAAGTTTTTTTTTTTCAAATGAAGGGTCACACCCCTCTTCAAGGGGAGATTAATAAAGAAAAAGTAAAAACTGGGTGGGGTCATTTAAAAATCTTCTTCTCAAAAACCACTGGGCCAGAAAAGATGAAATTTATGTGAAAGTTTTTTGACATTCAAACAGGAAAGCCATGATTTGTCATATTTATATGGAAGCATCCTCAGGTAATATATATTCAGGTTTGTTCAACTCCTGATCCTAAGAGGTAGGGAGAGGCTACAATGAGCAATCAAATTTTTACATAGGAAAACATGAAAAATCTTTTAAAAGTCTTTAAAAATCTTCTCAAAAACAGGAAAGCCGTGATTTGTCATATTTATATGGAAGCATCCTCAGGTAATATATATTCAGATTTGTTCAACTCCTGATCCCCAGAGGCAGGGAGAGGCTACAATGGGCAATCAAATTTTTACATAGGAAAACATGAAAAATCTTTTAAAAATCTACTTCTCAAGAACAGCAAAGCCATGACCAGTCATATTTATATGGCAGCTTCCTTAGGTAGTGTACATTCAATTTTGTTCAAATCATGACCCCCAGTGGTAGGGAGGGGATACAATTGGGAATCAAAGTTTTACATGAGAATACATATGATAAATCTTTAAAAATCTTCTTCTCAAGAACAGCAAAAGCTGATCCTCTTGTAGTGTTGATTCAAATTTGTTCAAATCATGATCTCTGGCTGTAGAGTGGGACCACAGTGGGCAATCAAATTTTTACAAAGGAATTTTTAGGAAAAATCTTTTTTCTCAAGAACAGCAAAACCATGATTAGTGATATTTATATGGAAGCATCCTCAGGTAATGGTGATTGAAAGTTTTCAAATCATGACTCCTCAGAATAGGGTGGGGCCACAATGTGTGATCAAAGTTTAACATTGGAATATATAGGAAATATCTATAAAAATCATCTTCCCAAGAACAGCAAATCCATGACTAGTCATATTCAGAAGCATCCTCAGGTAGTGTACATTTAAATTTGTTCAATTCATGTTCCAGGGGGGTAGGTAGAGGGCACAATACATATAGGAAAAAATCTTTTAAAGACATGATTACCCCTGGATATCAAAGCAATACAGAAGCATTCTCAGGTAGTGCAGATTCAAGTGTGAACAAATCATCCCCCTTTTCCCTTGGCCTTTTTCATAGCCAATGTGCTCAGGTGAGTGATGTGGCCCATGGGCCTCTTGTTTAAATGTATAGACTGGCATGTATTTGGAGTTCTGGTTTCTATGCTCCAACTGCTGTAATAATACTTCCTTAACTGTAACTTCTAAAACTTAGACTATATAATTTGAATGTATGGATTATGATAAGAAAAAAAAACTACATATATTTACAAGATTCCTTATGTGGAAAGCCATTTAAGGCACAACTATGATAACCCTATTAAATGCATGTAATGCAATTTATCCTGCAAATACCCCTTGCATTGACCTTATAAAGGTAACCTAATAAACCAAAGCTGTATTTGGTCAATGCCCTAATGACACTCTAAAAGCATTGTGACGACATGTATTTTGCAATGTTTACACCATGGCGTCTTAGTTTCAACTGCAGAGATGTGCCTAAATCTGGTTGAAAATAGCTCGTCTTGGAGGTCTGATGTAAAAATATGTTGTAGGGTAAACAAAATACATGGATACTGTCTTGAAATATAAGCGATATTTGGGCTCGGGTAAGAAAACGTGATGGAGGGCTCGGCAAGCCTAGCCCTCTATCACGTTTTCTTACCCTCGCCCAAATATTGCTTATATTTCAAGACAATTACCATGTATTTTATATTTATAAGTAAAATTTAGGGTTGGCATGTTTAAAGATAATCAATACAAAATGAAAACTTAAAATTACCAATTAGAAAATTTAATTATCATTTTAAGATATAAGATATATGTAGTGTATTATGGTAAAATATTGTGATACTTATCAATATAGAAGGTGTATCATCCTAGCCCTTTTGGTCATAATGACTGTGAGGGATTGACTTGCAGGTCTCATTTATAATACAAAATGGAGGTCCACTTTAGCTTACAATTTATATGATATACTGTAATAAAATGCTTTAATTGTATTACTAATAATTTAAAGTATCAGTGCTATCAGTAAAAGGGAAAAGCAATACTATCATTAACATTTTTACTGTTACTTTTATGTGCCAAAATTAAGACTCTAAGTGTTATACATGTAAAATTCAGGGTTTGCTACAAAACTGTGTTTGAAAATATTGAAATTCCTGTGGAATTCCAGTGAAATTATATAAAATTTCTATCATAATGCAGATACATGTATATATCAATTTTCAGTATTTTTTTTCACCAGGGATCAATCTTCTGGAGGGACAGAAAACTCCCAGCCCCTCCCTCTCCTGCCCATTATTGTGGGTAGTGTCTCCTTTGTATGTTTAGTGGTCGTCATTGCCTGTATCTTCTGTCTGTGTAGAAGAAGGGGCAGCAGTGCAGGTACATGTAATAAAGTGACATATATAGTTTTTTTTATCATTTCAGAATTACTGTTCTAGTAAAAATACACCATTTCCCTATTATTTTCTTAAATATTATGGACCAATATTTAAAATATTTAAATTTAATTTAAACACATGTTATACATCAGCATATTTCTATATTCATTACAAAAAGAGGTACATATATTGATATTGTTTACTCTTATATGAAAGAATGTGGGCATATTTGATATAGATTTAGCAGGAATCTGGATGCACTTGAAAAGTGAAAATATTATTAAGCCTTCATATGATATTTTAGATATTAAATATTTTAGAATTATAATGATACACAGGTTCCTGTGATAAAGGAAAAAGAAATATTTCACTGTGTGTTGATTTCCTAAAACATTCCATTTCATAATGATGCATCATTTGGTAAAAAATGTAACATTTAACAACACATTTTTCTATTAAATTGCTATCTATTGGACACTCCTCCACAAAATTAAAGTATGATTTCTGTGCATTTTAAGAAAACAAGCAAACACTTTTTTTAAAAATAAAAAAAAAAGATTCCCAGAGCTCATGAAATATGACCCCCCCTCTCCTTTCCAAATAAATGCTATCATGTTTCGTTAGTGGTATCAAGTCAATTCATGCCCAGGTAGTACAGTGGTAATGCCACCTGTATCTGATGGGAGCAAACAGGTTTTTTGGGGTTTAATCTTCTCGTGGAGCATATACATATTTTTCAAAACTAATAATTTATGGCATTTATCAGTTTTATTAATTTACTGATTTCTTAAAAATTTAATTTTCATACATGTAGGTAAAAAGGAGAAAGATGTAGAATTGCAACAACCATTAGTAGAGACATTTCCTCCAGGTAAAATAGTTATGTTACAGTATCTTAAATGTGACCACTCCAAGTAATTATTAATAAAGATTTTTTTCTTCATAAAGCTTAGAAAATATTGAATAACAGATGAAAAATAATAAATACATGTTATCTTAATTGAACTTTGTTAATTCTTTTTTCTTCTCAGATTTTCATAGGATTTGTCATTATTTGAGTGCAAATGTCTTCTACCCAACCAAGGTTTACACAAAAAGTGTTGGTTTGTTTGAGGTCCATGGAAGTTTGCTGTTGATTGGTCCACATGGGTCAGGAAAAACCACTATTGCAGTCAACCTTCTCAGCAAGAAGGTAAATACAACATCAAATGGCAAAAGATGCTTTGTTGAAGTTTGCAAGTCGGTTGAAGAAATTGCAAGTAAAATAGATGAATCCACTGTTACTTTTGTGCTGCTGGATGATGCATTGGAGCAATATGCCTACCAAGAGTCTTTACTTGACACTCATTTAGAGGTGTATGAGGAATTGAAGAGATTGATAGAGATTGGTTATCTTCGAATCATTTGTACAGTAACTGATACCATTTGGAATACTTTTCGGGCTAAGTTTTCACAATGTCCATTTTTCTCAAAAGAATTTCAGATTGAATTAAATGACAAGACAATAGACAGACATGAAAAAGAGGAAATTCTGAAGACACACCTGCAATACAACAAGTTTGTGATCTCAAAAAAGAAGAAAGATGAGAATCTGAAAAAAATTGATAAACATCATGCTGATAACTCTCAAATTGTTATCTCTGAAGATACAATAAAGTCTTGGGCAAAAAAGGCAAAAGCAAAAAATGGAGTTGGCATTCCTTTGCTTTTTGATCTAATCAGCACAAACAAGTCTCTGTTTGTAAATGCTGACACTGTTCTTTCAGATAGTTTAGAGAGTGTGTTAAAAATGCGAATTTTACATCTTAGAAAGGATTCCAAAGGAGCCCTGGACAAGGACTTTGGTAGCATTCTTATTTTTGCTGCTTTCTGTGGTGGAAAAGTATCTGTACAAGATTTTGTGGATAAAGAATCTGTATATGTTGAAATTTGTAGTAAAATAGGCTGCAGTAAGAAAGGTGTCAAGGAAATTGAAGGCTTGTTAAACATGCATGAGATGGGAAGCTACTTTTATCCTCTGAGGGGATGCTATATATTTCATCACAAAATTCTAACTGCCCTGATTTTATCATCAACCGTGAAAGATAATGAAGAGCTGGTGTTGCAGCATGCAGACCTGGATGTTCTCTACAGAACACTTCAGTCTCAGAAAAGCAAGTACCCCCTGTGTGTGAAAGTGAGTGAGAAGTCATTGACAAGTTTGACTGATAGAATTGGTAAGGAAACCCCAGATGTTATTGGGAAATGGCAAAATCATGTAATCATGCAGAGTGAGAAGCCTAAGAAAAGGTTGATGAAGGCAATGGAGGATTGCAGGGATGGAGAGGCTCAAGAAAAGTAAAGTTGATAATACATGTAATCATTCCAAAATAGAATCTTTAGCAATCATTTACAACTGGTTTGCAGCAAAAATTTGAAATCCTGAGCAATCGCTTATGAAAAAAGTTGCTGTAAAATTGAGATCCTTTAAAACTTTGGGTGTACTTTGGAAAATTAATTCAATAAATCGGCTTAATAAATGGAAGGCATTGACTGAGAGAAAACATATGGGTTGTACTAGAAGAGGAGTTAATGGTCCATAGGTGAAATATGATCGTTAAAATTTGGAGGACATCTGTTGTAACTTTTCATTGTGTAATGTTTATGGTTATGATGATACAGAATGTCTTTTTCTTTCATCCATGTATACATGTAGAAAATTGTTTTCAATACAAAATTAGTTTAACATATATTTACATGAATGTATCACAGTTCCACTTTTCCGAAACTGCTTTTCTGCGACGAGTAGTGCTGCCTTTCCTCGATTATATTTTTTTTTTGCTTTTTTGCGACTTATTTTTAATTAATATGCACCTTTTTCCTTAGCCTGACAAAACCTGTTGATGACTGCTTACTCCACACTGGATAAAACGAAGATTAAAAACAAGATGAAAAATCCACTGAACATATATACATGCATTCACATTTCGGTGCAAGCTCCATATATATAATACATCCATATTTGTTTCTACGATTTTTTTCTGTATGAACAATTTCCATAATGTCTAAAAGATATCTCCGACCAGTGTAAAATCATAGGAGCTTGTCTTCAGGATTGTTAAATGTTAAATAAATTTTAAAAAATTTGAATCTTCTTTAAATACACTTAAAGTTGCTCTCGTCTTGGAAAAAATACCCCCGCCCACTTCAGCGCCTATTTCTGGACTCTAAAGCATTAATTTATTTCGTTGCCATGGTTCTGTCCCCTACAGTGATGATTTTCCTAAATTTGATGCATTTGTCAGTCATCAACACGCGTTTAATAAGCTCTAATAAATTTTTCAGTGAACCAGACTTTGTATATATGTTATACGGATTTACTACCGAAAAAAATGGGTTTTACGTTTGCAGGAATAAGTAGATATAAGTAAGTTTAACTTGAATTTTCTGGATTGTAAACTGTCGGTCAAGGAATCTACTGCGGCAAATACAGTACTATTAAACACTGAAGTAATAGCAAGCTAAGCAGATGTTAAATATGACCATTAATATTAACGTGGGAATTTTGAACAATCATGGGGGTTGGGGAGGGCTCTCCCTACCTTTTTCCTAGATTATTATTTTTACTGTTCATTAAGTATGGGATTTTATTTAGTTTTCTCAGGCATCCCCCTCCCCTTCAACTGCTTCGTCCCTGTATACTGTAATACATTTTTTTTTACAATGATGGTTTGTTTGTTGTCGTTATAAGAAAAGCAACAAGGATTGAAATGTTGCAGGAATGAGACTCTGAACAACATGAAATGGTTTGGTTTGCTTAAACTTCTTTATGTCAACTATTGTTTTCGGCTTTTATTTTTTATTTTGTAACAAAACGCAGGTATTTGAATTTTTTCTCATTTTCAACTCTACTGGGAGACCAGAAGAGTATATGCATGGTAATTAAGGTGTCCGTCGTCCGACTGTTTTGCTGTTTGACCGTCTGTCTGTTTGTGAACGGTCTTTCAAAGTACTACTACATCTACCTCGGTTTTAGTCCGATTACTATTAGACTTGGTGCACAAGTAGACTACAATTAGGGATAATTCTTTTTATGCCCCCGGATCGAAAGATCCCGGGGGTATATTGTTTTTGTCCTGTCTGTCTGTTTATCTGTTTGTCTGTTTATCTGTTTGTCTGTCTGTCGTCAACTTTAACCTTGCCCATAACTTTTGATTGGTTGGAGCTATGACTTTCATATTTCACATGTGTATTCCTTGTGACAAGACCTTCCTTTGGGTACCATCATATTTGACCTTTTGACCTTGACCTTGGAGTTTGACCCACTTTTGCAAAATTTTATGAGACTTTAACCTTGGCCATAACTTCTGAACAGTTGGTGCTTGGGGTTTCAAACTTCACATGTGTATTCTTTGTGACAAGACCTTCTTTTGGATACCAACAACTTTGACCTTTTGACCTTGACCTCGGAGTTTGACCTACTTTTGAAAAACTTCAACCTTGGCCATAACATTTGAACAGTTGGTGGTTGGGGTTTCAAACTTCACATGTGTATTCTTTGTGACAAGGCCTTCTTTTGGATACCAACAACTTTGACCTTTTGACCTTGACCTCGGAGTTTGACCTACTTTTGAAAAACTTCAACCTTGGCCATAACATTTGAACAGTTGGTGCTTGGGGTTTCAAACTTTACATGTGTATTCCTTGTGACAAGACCTTTCTCTGGATATCAACCTCTTTGACCCTTTGACCTTGACCTAGGAGTTTGACCTACTTTTGAAAAACTTTAACCTTGGCCATAACTTTTGAATGGTTGGAGCTAGGGCTTTCACATTTAACATTTTTGATCTTTTGGCCTGGATTTTGACATCCATTTGAGAAACTTCAACCTTCACCATAAGCTGCCATACGGGGGCATCAGTGTTTCACAAACACATCTTGTTTTTCCTGATATCAACAATGTTGTTAACATTTTTTTTTGTTGTTGAAATTCTTTTAATGTTACTTCTACAGTTTTGGTTCGATTTAAAAATAACTTCATTAAAACACATCCTTCTGTTTATCAGTTTCTGATTTCAAAAAAAGATGTTGCCTTGCTTACTCATAAATGAAGTTTCTGTGAAATGCTTTCTAAATAATTTTCTACAATTTTTGTCCTGATTTTTATAAAATTTGATTAACAAGTAGACTCACTAAGTCATGATATTCTGTTTTCTAGTTCAAGGAATGGCGTTGCCATGGTGTTTTAAAGTTATTTTAAAAGCCTACCTTGCGTATATATTTAGCCTAATTAAATAAAATTTATTGCAGAAAAAAACTTCACCAGGGATAAAAATTCTTTTTGGTTTGCCATTTACAAGTTCCAAATATTACTTACACAAGTACATACGAGTAGAGCTACAGTTTCGACAGAGACTTCTGGTTACATTGTCCATTTGGACTTCATCAAATATTTCAAGATTTGCAATACGTTGAACTTGTTTTGAGATTTTTTTAAAATGTTCATGAACAATCCTTAATGACTCCTACTACTTTATATATATATATATATATATATATATATATATATATATATATATATATATATATATATATATATATATATATATATATACTTAACAAAACTTCTAAGTGTTCACTCTGATAAATGTATTTATTCAAAAACTACACGATAGAATTATGTGATATTTTCAAATTATTATAACCAATGTGTTTTCTTAACAATTATCGAAAGAAAATCAATTGTCACCGATGAAAATCAATGTCCCGTGACGAAGCTTAAAAACAATAAATCTGTACTTTGCGGCACGTGTAATATGTAATCAGCTTCTTTTTGTGACCATTATTGATTTAAACAACTGATTTAACTAAAAAAACACAAAACATGGGCAAAATAACTATTGAGGAAGGAAGGAGAGCCGTTGGAATGTTAATATCTGGATCACCCTTATGACACGTTTTACACACTTTTATTTTAGTGTTTATTTGTCTTTGATATTACTTTTAAAAGTTAACAACCAGTATAAAAATCCATTTAAGCACATTTTCTAAAGGTTGTGCGTCATTTTTATCGCCAACTTATCACAATTTGAAAGCTTTGGACAAAATTTAACCAAACCGGAAGTGATCTGGATCTTCGTCTGAGGCCAAGGTTTCGCATCACAATCAGGTTACATGGTCCTGAACCACTTTAGAAACATTTAAATCAGCAACTTCATTGGTAAGAAAATGGCAACAAATTGGTGCTCATGGCAGTCCAATATCATCTCAAACAGTCTGAATCATCCTTAAAGAGGTACACTTACGTGCGAGACGCCGAAGGAGGGTCTAAGAGTTGACCAAAAGGCATCTGTGTCATGCACTGGCCTGTCAAATCCCCGGATCTAATTCCATTGAACACATTTGGGAGTTTTAAAAGGAATGTCAAAGCCCTACCCCTCCACATTATTTCAACGGTTTAGAAAGATCCATGCAGTAGGTGTGGCAGCAGATAGGTCAACCTCCTATTCAGGGGTACATGGTATCCATGAGAAAAGATGTCTTACAGTAATTATAGCGAGTGGTTGTCTCACTCCATAGAAATTATTTTATGTGAATTTTCATTTTGAGGATACATCATGTCCTTGACACTTTGCTTTAAAGTCTGACGAGATACTTACATGAAATTTACGCAACGTCGAACTGAAATATGCCAAATTAACCATGAATTAAAGAAATTATATATGTTGTATGCATTTGTTCCTTATAACTTAAAAATGAACACTTAGAAGTTTGGTTAAGTGTATATATATATATATATATATATATATATATATATATATATATATATATATATATATATATATATATATATATATATATATATATTTATTTGATTGGTGAAGTTTCATAACTGTTAGTAATCAAAGAATAGAGCTCCATTCTATTATATTGAAAAAATCATTATTATATAGCATTAAGTATGTTATATTAGTGACATTACGTGTATTTGTGCGGTACTGTTATCATAAAGTGTTCTCTGGTGTTCTTGAGTAATTTTGCAAAACTGGTAAGTGCTTTAGTCAGTTGTTTTTTTTTTTTTTTTTTTTTTTTTTTTTTTTTTTTTTTTTTTTTTTAGAGCGAGATTTATTTTCAAAAAAAAAACAAAACAAAACCATGCACTTTATTATTTTTTATTTTCCAAAAAAACAACAACCCATGTACATTATTATATTTTATTTATTTATTTATTTATTTGGTTTTGTTTGTTTGGGTTTTTTTTTTGGGGGGGGGGGTTTATTTTGTTTCTTTTTTTTTTTTTGGATACAAGAGATAGTATTGTTTTCGTTGTGTATTGTGTCATATAGGTGAAGCTGTACTAGATATTTGCAAATCATA